GGGGGGCAATTTTGCTCCCGGGGGACATTTGGCAGAGTCCAGAGACCTTTTTGACTGCTGCAACGGGGAGGGTGCTACCGGTACCCAGTGTGTGTGTAGTGGGAAAGGCCAGGGGTGGCCAGGCGCAGGACAGGCACCCACAGCGAAGAACTACCTGGCCCTAAACGTCAGCAGTGCTGAGGCTGAGAAACTGCCTGGGAAAGAAGGCTTTATCACATACGATCTGGCCGTGTTCTGTTTGCTGCAGATGTACTAGCTCCCATCGCCCTATGATTACAACCTGCAGAAGCGCACAGCTGATGGCGTCGTCTTCTCCTTGACCCTCACAGGTGGGGCCCTGAGAGCAACTCACTCACCAAATGCGTGGCTGAAGGACTCCCGTGTTGGAATCACCCTCTTTCCTTCTCTCCACTTGTACTGCCCCCTCCCTGCACCCGCCCCCCAGCTGCAGGTCCAGGGCCACCACGCTTCCTACAGAGCGTCTGTCAACCCTGAGGCCAGTCCACTGCTGCTGATCACAGACCCTGAGGTAAGAGGACAGCAGAAGCAAGAGGACGGAGACCCGCTATAGGAAGACGCCAAGGGAGAGAAACCATGGCTCTGTCACCGTTCAGCGACACAGGAGCAGCCTAGAGAAGCTCTGGTTTTCTTTGGTGTTCAGCGACTACTTGAAAAGAGGAAAATTTCTTACTTAAGACTTCCAGTAACTTGGCCTCCAGGATAATGTCACCGCCCCCTCAAGCCCAGTCCCCACCTGGCCTTCCAGGCTAGGTGGGAGGCTTTCCTCACGGACCCCTCCCCTGCCTGAAACCCCCAACCTTCTCCTCCACACAGCACCGTGCTCACAGCCCCTGTGACCGGCACCGACCTCTTCCCTCTGCAAACAGGGTCCGCACAGCCCCACGGCAATGTGGTGTCTCTGCCCTCACTGGTCCAGTCCCCGAGTGATTTCCGGTAGTAGTCTGAACCTTTAAAGAGTGCCATGGGCACTACTCGCCAGACGCTGTTCTAAGCCCTTCACATCTATGAATTCGCTTTACAGATGAAAAACCATAGCACAGAGAGATTAAGTTGCCCGAGGTCACATGCTAGTCAGCGGCAGGACGAGAATTTGAACCTGGGCAGCCTTGCTCTGGAAATTCCTGCTCTTAGCTCTATGCCCTGTGCCCTGCAGTGTGGGCGTCCTGCCTCCTAGCTGGATCATAATCTCCTGGAGGGTAGGTGTCCCGTCTTGAGCACCCACTGGTCTAGCAAATGGTAGGGCACGTGACACCTTAGGGCAAGCCCACTGTGACAGCTGACTTGAGCAGACTCTACCAGGCTGGAGCTCAGCATGGGGCTGGGAAGCTACGATTCTCTTCCTTTCCTTCCCCATGTCCAGGAACTCTGCCACGCATACTTACTTGTGTGGGAGCGGGGTGGCACTCGGGCACAGGTGTAGACGTGGCTGAAACGCCGACCTGAGGAGGTCAGGTACCAGTGCTGGATGGCGGGCTGGGGGTTGTACTCTGTGACCGCCACACCATTCACCGCTGTCATCATGAGCATGTTGATCACCTCGTTGGAGAGCTTGGTCCTCTCATCGGTCCTGATCCGGTTCATGGCACTGAATCCGCGCTCACAGCAGGAGGTGGAGACGGGCACACAGACCACCACTGCCACGAGCCTGCTGAGCAAGGGGAAGCGGCAGTCCTGGGCCAGGGCGTTCCTGCACAGCATGGAGAATGGCAAGTTCTTGGCGATGGCTTTCAGGCCCAGCCACTCCTCCAGCAGTGCTTCCTCACTGTATCCTGGGGGCAGTGAGAGCTCAAAATATCTGGCCAGGGCAAGAATATCATCATTCCCAAAACCGGCCAGTTCCATCCCACTTGGCCAGGCCATGGCGTCAAACACCTCCATGTTCTTGAGCTGCGGGGGACGGTCCACGTCAAACCTTTGCTGGAGGTATTCAATCCCAGTCAGGATCATTCTCTCCCTGTCCGCCTGGAACCGCTGTTCTGCCATCTCCATTCTGTCCAAGAAGATGCCGTGGAGCCGCCCATCCCTGAAGCCAGCATTGAACTCTTCCTCTTTGGGTCCTGCCTGGTGACGGAGGGTCTCCAGTGCTACATAGGCCCGTCCCAGCGTGGCGTTCACCTCCGTAATCAGCACGATCTCCTTCTGGCACACTTCGGACAAAGGCCTGTAGATGCTCAGGAAGTCCAAGAGGAAGTGGCAGAACTTGACGAAATGGAAGCCCTTCATCAGCTTCAGCACGCCCTTGGCCCTGTGCCCGACCTGGCCACCTGCTTCCGCCATGCTCTGCAGGTGCCTGGCCAGGGCAGGCCAGCTCACGATGAGCGCGCTCAGCGTGCGCCTCTTGCTGGCCACCCACCTGACAGCGTTCAGGTCCTTCAGGCGGATGATTTCCTGCTCCAGTGGGGCCGCGCCTTCCTGCAGCTCATTCAGCCTTTTGTTCGAGGACTGATAGAACTTGAAGACGGTTCGGATGTGCCGGTCACACTTCCTGACCAGGTCGATGCCTCCACAGGCGTCAACCACGGCCAGGTGTAGCCGGTGGGCCACACAATGCACCGGCAGCAGCTGGGGGACGATCTCCCGGAGCTTCTCCACCAGACCTCCTCTGCAGCTCAGCATGGTTGAGCCATCGGTTCCCAGGCCCACTACCCAGCCAGGCTTCCGGAAGGGGATGTCCAGTTCGTCCAGGGCAGAGATGATGGTCTCAAAGTATCCATCCACCGTCTCGCTGCAGAGTGGGGCCAGAGTGATGTAAGACTCCTTCACCTCCATCCCCTTAAAGTAGCGGATGTAAATGCCCACACAGGACTGGTCGGAGGCGTCTGTGGCGCTGTCCAGCAACACGCCCACACACGGGGAGCTCCGGACATCCTCAAGGATCTCCTTTTTCAGAGTCTCGGAGATGTATTTGATGAACTGGGTGCAGGCGGTGCGATTTCGGTACTTGCCCAAAATCACGGTCCCGGTGCTTTGGAGGAGTTGCAGGATCTTCTCAAAGTCGTTCAGGGGCCTCGAGTGGTACGCGATGGAATAGGCGGCATTGAAAAAGTGCTCCATGTCGGCCATCAGGTCACTGGAGATCTCGGGGACGAGGGCGGCCTGCGGGGTGTCTTCCTTGACTTCCAGGGTGTTGACACAGAGCTTGTGTGCTTTGCTGACTTCATGGTACTTTAGAGTCTCCACTTTAAAAGGACCCGTGTAACCTCGGACTAACCGGGATGATCTGTCGTGGAGACTAGGTCTTTCTCTGCAAGCTGAGCAGAAGAGCTTGGTCTCCCTGGGGTCAATTACTAACCACGGGAACTGCCCAAACCACGACCTCTGAATTGAGCGGGGTCTGTAAGTCCTCTTGACTTTCCTCCGTCCATCTGCTTCTACTTCACAGAGGCTGGGATTGCAGTAGGAGGTGCGCGTCTCCATGGCAGGAGCCGGGAGCAGGGCAGATTCTACAGCCGAGGCCTGTGTGTGCGCCTCTCTAATGGCCACCGTCGTCTTCTTCCCTTTGGAGCAAGTCAAACTGTGCTCGGTTTTGCTGCCCAGAACTCTGCAGCCTCCTATCAGCTAAGACACCCCAATTCAGTAAGTACCCCTTATGCAAAGCAGAGAGGATGAGTGTCATCCGCCTTCTAGAAATCAGTAGTGGCTTCTATTTAAGCCCTTTCCCACTAGTTTCTCTGAAAGCCAGTCTGTCTCCCCAGGAGTTGTCTGCTAATCCTCGTGGGTTCTTTAGCCAGCCTCCCCCTCCCTATCCACATACCTACCCTGAGATCATGTGACATCAGATGCTAACAAGCTTAATTAGCACCTTGGCCACAGATGCTATTGGATGGATGGTTTTAATCCTCTTTCGAGGCACCACAAAGAAATGAGGTTAAACATCCAGAAGTCTTCTTATGAGTCTTGGAAACAAGGGAGGCACGGAAGTATACACAGCAGCTATTAGCCAGTAAGTTACTGACAGAGATACACGAGCTGCGAACTCTCACAGACCGACAGTGTTATCGCTAAACACCAGAGGAGCGGGGAGAAGGCAGCAGAGGCTCCCAGCCGTGGGTCACGGGGCCCCTCGTGGCCAGTGTCCATCACGCACCTCCCCCACCAGCTCTACCACAGTCCCCCAGTTTCACTTCTGCTCATCAAAGCTCCTTATTTTTCTCAAACTGTCCCAGTTTCTCAAATTCTCCTACACTGTGAAGGCACAGTTAGTTTCTTATTCACGTTTTTCTACCAATACAGGGCCTGGTGCACAACAGGTCCAGCAGGAGGATGGCGGAACTGGCACTGTGTGACTTGCCGTGGCTGCCTGGGCCCCCGGACAACCCATCAGAACCCAGCAGGTCAAGACCCACCTGGAGGACGGCCTTTCCCCCACTTTGGCCCGTTTGGGTCCTTGATCCAGGGTGCAGCTCTCCGCTCCAGTTTTGAGATCAAGTCTGGTTTGGCAGCAGCAGGCCCTGTTGCAGGGACGAAGAGTCACAGCGACATCACAGCTCTGGACTGTCAAGTCAAGCAGCCCATCTGAAAGATCCAGGGAGGCTCTGGGTGCATTTCCTAATAAAATCTTTCCCACCAGGGGTGCAATGAAAGCATACCCATCTAGGGTGCCAATTTATTCTTAAAACCCAAAGAGGCACCAAATTAGGGTGTATCCCTTAGCTCCATGGCTCACCCATGGGAGCATGACTCAGCTAAACGAATCTGGAGGGGAAAGGGTCAAAACAGGAAGAAATACGGAGGACAAAATAGAAGGAGAGAGGACAGGGATGATAAAGAAAGCCACACGAGAAGTGGGAGAGGGCCACCAACAACTGTCCCATGCATGTGGCCCTCAGCAACACCCACAGCTGGCCTTGGTGCAGGTGGCTAACTACACGGGGCACCTAGAAAGCCCCTTAACGCTGTCTGCCACCTGCAGTGGAACCTGAAATCCGACGAGAAGAGATTTGTGTTTTTAGGTTAAGCACTGCCCTTTACTGAAAATATGAATATTCTGCAGGGCTATGCGAAGAAATTGCTTTCTTGATTTAAAGTAAAATCCATTAATCTCTACTTACATGCTTTTTATGTATCTATGTGAAAGGGTGTATAACCTTTCTTTGGAAAGACATACACAAGCTACTGGTAACTGCGGGCACTTCTGTGGAGGGACTGAAGGACAAGGTAAAAGGGAGATTATTTTCACTATTCATCTTTGGATCATTCACATATATTTATATGTTCATGTGTGTGTATGTATCCACATATTTACTACTAATAAAAATATAATACATTATTAATCTGTGGTAGATTGAACACTTATTCGTCTTCAAACGTCTCTAAAATGAGGGCAAAGGGATAATAATAAAAAGAAGCGTAAGCCCAAGAGAAACATTGTGCTAGAAATGTTAATACATTTTTAGAAGAAGGAAAGGAGACAAAAGAGAAGAGCTAACAGAGCTGGACACCAAATGCAGCAGAGCAGGTAATAAGGACAAAGAAGTGAACTTGACCCCAGAATCCCCAAAAGAGCCAGGACCTGGAGGCACCAGGTGCAGCAGAAGGTGGTGGGTAAGGAGAGACCTGTTCAAGGCCAGGTCCGCTCACCTATTCCAGGAAGCCAGAAAATACCACCACCCTCCCCCAAGGAGGAGAGAGGGGTTGGTCTACAGAAGAAAACTTAACCAGAAAGGTTCCGGGCCCTGGGATGGTGGAGTGAGTGAAAGATGAAGGAAAAGAGCTGCGATGCGAACAGATGGAGACAGTCTACAGGCCAGAAGCTGCGTTACCCGCGGCTCCGAGAACACCAGCTTGGGGTACAGCCAAGCAGGAGACTGGAAGTTTTCTTCGGAGAAATGGAATTGCCCCGCCCCAAGCCTCCTCCCCAAAAGACCTACGGATACAGACTTTGCCGGGCTCTTCAATGAAACATCCAGGTTCACAGCTGGTCACCCTACAATGCAACCTACCCCTTGACTCCCAGCCATGCACACAGAGCTTCCAGCCAGTTTTTAAGGCTTTACTCTTAAATGTGAACGAACCTAAAGATATTTATTTAAGACAAACTGCTAACAAGTAGGAACAAGGATTGAAGGAACTAGAGATACTGCAGGAAGCAAAACGAAATTTCAACCCCCTCCCCTCAAAACTAGAACATTCCCACAGAGAAAAGTCATGATAGTTACCATGAAAAGAGCAATAAGGGCTCTTAGTTTAAAATATGATAGAAAAAAAATGTTTTAACTTAAATAGAATTGTTAGAAAATAAAATGGAGGAAATCTCCAGGAAAGTAGAACAAAAAAGACAGAAGCAGGAAATAGGAGAAAAAGAAAAAAATAAAACAAAACCAGAGGCTTAATTTAAGAAGTCAAATATCTAACTAATAGGACTTTTTTGGAAGAAAGAAAATAGAAAATAGAAAGGAAGAAATAATACAAGAATGTTTCCCCAAAATGGAAACTGTGAGTTCCACATGGAAGGGAAGCACCAGGTATCCAGAACAAAAGATGAAAAAAACATCCGTATCATTAAGCACTAAATACTTCAAAACACTGGAATAGGTCTTAAAACTTTTCAGAGTGGAAAAATGGGCTGCGTTCAAAGATTTAGGAATAAAAAGGTATTTAGACTTCTCAACAGCACCTGTAAAACCTAAAATCAATGCTTTCAAAATGCTGAGGAAAATCATTTCCAACCTGGAATTCTATACCCAAACCAAATTATCAATTGTGAGAGCAGAATAAGGGCATTTTCAGATATACAGAGTCTTTAAAAAATTTCCTCCCATGAACCCTCTCTTAGGAAGTTACTGAAGGATGTGCTCCAACAAAATGAAGACATAAACCTAAAAGAAGCAATAGATCCAGGAAATAGGAGAGAGATGAAGGAAAGTCTAAGCCCACAGCTGTGCAGCAGGCCTAAAGTATAACTAGTTTAGATAGAGCAGAGGAATGGAAGACCCAGTGACAGAAGTTTCCAGAAAAAAAAGTGAAACTGATAGGTCACAGGATGTTCGATCATGTGGAAAAGACTCTTCAAAGGAGTTATATAATTCCATGGAGAGTTTGAGAAGAATTGGTGATAGTACAGAAAACTAGCAAAGTAAAAAAATAAGAAAAAATTTCAATTCCTAGGGGGGAAAAATCCTACAACAAAGGAAACATCATCATAATATGTCACTTTGATTAGAAGTAAATAATACATAATCATAATTAGGCAAATAATTTACATTGAATTAACCAAAAAAGTATGATATACCTGTTCTGAGAGGATGGAGGGAAGAGAAGTGGGGGCCTGGGGTGATGTAAGAGGGCCATATCTTCATCCTCCACAGTAGGAATCAATAGATAATATCTAAAATCAATAAATCAGGAATAGCAATAAACATATGCAACAGGATATTAAAGTGTGATTCTGCCTGCCTGTTTTGGCTGAAGGCCCCCCCAAAAGAGGAGCCAACTCTCCCCCATTCCAAAGCTAGACCACCGAAGCCAACTTGGAAAGAGTGGCTGAAACACTGGGCTGTAACCCAAGCACTTGCCACTAAGAGGGAGTCAAAGCACTGGGAGTGAGGAGGTCAGGAAGTTGGATATTAGAGATGCTTTGGAAAGAGCTGTCAAGTGTACTGTGAGCCCTCCACACTACGATGGGGAGGGGTGGGGTGGACCGGGCTACTTTCCTCTGACCTTAAGCCTAATGGGAATGACACCCTGACCTGTATTTCCTGGAGCTGTGGGGCTGCTCAGGAATCCAGGCCTGGAAAAGACTAAAGGCATAAACTGACTGATGGTTCCTTGGTGGTGGCCATGTTGGGAAGAGCCTACATTCACAGGGCTTGTCAGAGCAAAGGATATATGTGTTTTCCATGGTCCAGATGTGAGCCCTGGAGGGAAAGA